TTTTTTTTTGGGGTCGGGGGGGGGGGGGTTGGGGGGCATTGAACTCATGGTTCCTAGTAGTAATAAAAAGAGGCAAACTACCTGTATGTTCATCACTATTGAAAGGTAAGACCATAACCTAAACAAAAGATCCTAAAATTGTTTGGCTCACAACAAGGATATCCGGGATCATAATTCCACATCCTATATGGATAAATAATAATAAGATTTTGGTATAAAATTGATACCGATTTAAGCTAATACCAATAACCAAATACGAGATAAATGTAAATATTACTAATCCTGGTAACAAGCCAAACGACCAGCTTCCAATTTATCAACTAGACCATTATTAAATAATTGTGGAAATAGTTGGCAAGAGATAGGGATATAAGTTCCAGCGGAATGAAGAGCCTCATCTCGTTTGTCATTGTCTTTCTCTAGCTAGGGTGGCTGAATGCATCCTGAACTACTATAGAAATAAAAACAGAAGACATAATATGAACAATTGCTACATGTAGAGGAGAAAGGCGGTAATAACTAACAAAATTACATACAACATATATATATATATATATGAGTTTTCAGTGTGGACTCAGTTGAGACCCTAAATTTATTAGATGGTATAAGTTAAGTACTTAAAAGGGAATATGACTAGAAAAGGACGACCACACTGGCCAATGAATGATTTCTCGCAACAAAATTAAAGAATTGAGAATATTTTTAATACTGGCAGTAGCTCTTGCTTTCAGCCGGTTTAGTTCAAATCAATGCAAGCCAATGAGAAACCCTCCTCATTTGGGACGTGGTAGGTTTGAAGTACTAGAGAGCGGTTGGAGAAATCCAAAAATTGGTCGTAGGGTCATAGGATAAAGAAATAACACTTATAACTAGAGGAGACACACACCTAAAAATTAGATGAGTATGTTTATATGATAATGATTCATCACGACTGACGAGGAAATAGTAGGGTGTTTACCTCGAAAATACGAGTAACAATTAAATTTAATTTATGGTTTTAAAGATACGTGATTTAGTTCAATACTAATTAATAACCAAGAAGTCTGAATTATAAATGAAAGGAGCAAGTAAAATCAAACCAGAATGTAGACCAGTCTCGACCTCGAGCCAAAGTGACCTCGAGATGGATCAAGAACAATAAAGCAAGAATAATAAAGCTAAAGGACAATTCTGATGAACAATGAGCCAAAAAGTAAGAGAATATATTCTTTGCCAATGATTAGATGATGTTTTACAAATGATTGGGGTCCCCTTTATATAATAGGGGAACCCTAAATAAGGTACATTTCTATTTACAGTAAAGAATCTTATTGGGACAGCTGTCTAACCGCCTAGTACGAATTCGTACAAATCTATTCCGGGGTTTACGCCATGAATCTGGGGTCGTGGCAGGAATCTTGCTCATTCTGTTATAAATCCGTAACGGCATTATGATCACGCCCAACTATACCTTATAAAAAGGACAATGCGGACGTTGCAAATATAACCTGAGTATTGTGCCCAGAGTCGAATCCACAGAGAATTAACCTATCAATCACTATCTTTAGACCTACTAAACTCTTTAGAATCAATTTCCCAAACGTTGAGAATCACAATTGATGGTGTTTTTAATAACTAAGATTAACAGTAACTAATAGCTGCAAATTAAAGATGCTAAGCTGTAAACAATAATGAAAAAGCGCTAAGGTATTGATTTCTCCTATTGATGGAATTCCTTCTGTTTATGTTTCATACAAATTCACCAACACATTCTATCAATCATGAACGCTCTTCTTATCGTAAATCTCTCCCGAGTAATCACAGTATTTTACTTAATGCACTCTCCCGAGATACACTAGCTAGCTTTAATTATCACAGTTCACTTAATATTACACCCAAGGCTTTGTTATTCCTAATCCCGCCTTTAAACCCGTAGTTATAGATCCCTCTTATACTTGGGAGTGGAGTTGTTCAACAATAACCTAAATATGCACTCTCTCCCGAGTTATGCACACTAAATAGGCACAACTAATTGAGGATCCTGTCAATTAACTACAACAAACACGTAGTTGAACAAATAGAAATTAAATTGGCAAACTGTATTCACATAAACAAGAAGTTCATCCCTGAATAGGTTCCATCAAAACCCTAGACAAAAGATTTAGCTGCTCATGACTATGGGTAAATCAACTAGAACAATATCCATTATCGTAATTGCAAGAAAAATTAAAGAAGAAGAAGATATAATGTCTTAGGTGATCTCTCACAATTGTTTTCCTTGCTACAATATTCTCCAATACAATTCTTGCCTCCTTTGGGCGAAGTCTAGTATTTAAAATAAGGTTTTGGGCTAAAAATCCCGTGTTTTGCACTTAAGTCCCTGAACTTTTCCGCCTCTACCGCGGTTCTGCTGCGGTCGCGGTCAAACCGCGGCCACACACCTTCTCTGAATCTCAACTTATCTGCGACAGTGTTCTACCGCGGTTCTGCCGCGGCAGTCCTTCTTCAGGCCTAGCTTGAGCTACTTCGCTTGGTTCACTTGGCAAAATTTTACGATTGGCCTCTTTTTCTCCATATTTGATCCCAAAAGTACTCCATAGCCTTCTCTTGTCATATATCACCTGCAAAGCATGAAAAGCACTAATCAGAGCATTTTGTTATCACTTTTATCATCAAAACTATACAAGAAGGTGGTTCTTTAGGGCCTAATTATAGTTAAATTTACCTATTATCAGTACTCCATAACAATAGCAAACAAGAAAGGAGAGATGGGGTCTCCTTGTCTAAGACCCTTAGCAGCTTCAAAAGGTTTAGTAGTTTCTCCATTGATCAGCACTGTGTAACTAACTGAGTTGACACATTCTATGATCCACTTTATGAATTTATCAGGAAAACCAATCTCCTCCATTACTTGTTGCAAGAATATCCATTCAACTGAATCATAGGCTTTTTGAAGGTCTATTTTAATCATGCATTTGGGCTCTAGTATAAGACTTTACTAACTCATGGGCCAATATTACATTATCTGCAATTTTCCTACCAGGAATAAAACCAGCTTGGGATTCAGAGATTATGCATGCCATGATCTTTTGAAGTCTAGCAGCTAGAATCTTGGAGATCATTTTGTGTAATACTGTACAACATGCAATTGGTCTATATTCTTTGACTGTGGTAGGTTTAGTGACTTTAGGCACTAGGGTGATGGTGGAACAGTTGATTGGCTTATACATCTTAGAGGTTAAAAATAATTCCCTAATAGCATCTGTGACTTCTTTACTGATAATGCTCCATGATTTTTTGAAAAAGACAGCATTGTATCCATCAATACCAGGTGCCTTATCATCTCCAATAGCTTTTAGGCTCTTCAGAATTTCCTAATCAGTAACATCTGCACATAGGTCTCTTCTTTGTTGTTGAGTTAGTCTGGGACCATTGGACATGTATGATCTATTTATAGCTGGAAGTGTCCTTGCTGTTGATCCCATAAGAGACTTGTAAAAATCCAAAATCTCTTCTTTAATGCCTTCAGGATCAGTAATTCTATCTCCACCCCTTGTTGTAATATCATTGATTTGTTTCCTCTGTGATCTATCTTTCATAACAGCTGTGAAATATTTGGTATTATCATCTCCCGGTTGGATCCATTTAGCTCTTGCCTTCTGCTGCAGTATATTCTCCTCAATCGTAGACCAGTTCTCTAGGTTAAGTAATGTCTCATTCTCCCTTTTCAAAAGACTATCTGAATACTTACTTGCAAGTTGTTCTTGTATATCTTTAAGGTCCCTTCTAGCTGCTTCAATTCTCAGATTGATTCACAGCTTTTAGGGGAGCTTTCAATGCCTTCAGTTTATACCAAACAAATTTCATAGTACCAGCAGAGTTCATAGTATTCCACCCTTCAGTCACTATTTGAGTAAAGTCCTGATGGTTAGTCCATGCATTGAAGAATCGAAATGGAACTTTCCCATTCCAAGATGAGTTTGTTAGAGTTAGTAGCATATGGGCATGATTTGATATCTGAGGAAGATCATAGACTGTCTCCACATGGTTCCAGTTCATCAACCATTCATAATTCCCAAGAACTCTATCAATTCTGCTGCTAACCTTATCTACTCCAGGTTGCCTGTTTGTCCAAGTATAGTATTCACTCTGCCAAGGAAGTTCAGATAATGCTGTTTGTTGCAAACATGAGCTGAAATCCTCAGTTTCTGCAAAACTAACTGGATTACAAGACAATCGATCATTAGCATACAGAACAACATTAAAGTCACCTGCAACCAACCATGGGTCAGTAACAATTGTAGCAATTTGTTGAAGATTCTGCCACAGTTCCTTTCTTTGTTCTAACCCATTAAATCCATAAACAACAGTCAGATAACATTGGATATCCCCCTGTCTGCTTTGAACTAGTGAGTGGATCATTTGAGGATCATCTCTGATTTTAGTAACCATGAGAATGTTAGAGTTCCATAGGAGCCATACTCTACCATTCTTAGCTTCTCTGTAGTTAGTCAGAATATCCCAGCCAGGAGCAATATACTTCAATATTTTTTGAGCATTTTCTTCTTTAACTTTGGTTTCCACTAATCCTACTAAGTTTATTTTGTTACTTCTAATATATTTCCTAACTTCCTTTTGCTTATACCTTTTATTTACACCCCTGATGTTCCAGAATAGCCACTTCATCATTGATAGCTTGTTCCACCTCTATCACTAGGTGGAATATTATACTTGCTATTAGACACAGGCTCAAATCTATTCTTGACAGGAATATGTGATAGTGGAGGAAAGTTGACAATGTTCAGCTCTGGACTTTGTATTGATTTCCCTCAATCTTCCTTCCCTGTATTATCATTATCAGCCATTGGTTGAGCCTTCTCCTTAGTCTGCTGCAATTCAGCCATCCTGGGACCAGAATCTCCCTTCCCTATAATGTTATGATCACATGTTGGTTGAACCTTCTCCTTAGGCTGTTGAGTTTCAACTATCTTGATATTATTGCCTTGTTGGATCTCCTGTTTTTCTACAGTAGGAGCTGATACTTTAGTTCTCCACTCTTGGGTAATTCTACCCTTTTTAGGAGGTCCCTGAACACCAGTCTTGATCTGAGCTTCGCATCTATGTCCCACTACTAGGCATTTCTCGCAGTAAGCAGGTTTCCAGTCGAAAGATACACTCTGTAGGAATTTTTTGTCATTTGGTTCCATCACCCACACTTCACTTGGCAGTTCCTTAGTAACATTAACCTCAATAAGCATCCTAGCATATGAAACTCTAGTCTGCTTTGTTGTGCATTCATCAGCAAAAATAGGTTTCCCAATCACACTTGCTATTCTGCTTAAAGATCTCATACCCCAACATGACATAGGAAGTTTAGGGAACTTTTCCCACAAAGGAATGGAAATGGGAAGTTCCTTTGAAAAGTCAAAATCCAGGGTCCATGGCTTTAGGATGATAGGTTTACTAGCTATGGAGTAAGGTCCTGCACATAAAATTTCACGAGGATCCTCCATATTTTTAAATCTGATTATATAGTAACCTTCCTTATGATAAAACAGGTCAGGTTCAGGCACATGAGACCAGTGAATACTAATATACCTTTGCATTGCTTTATACCCTAGTCCGTCACCTAAAATATAAGCAATCAAAGCACATTTCCATTTAGCTTCTTCTTCTTCCACCTCTGCCTTATCTAATTGGACCACAGGTTCACCATCTATTAACAATGGTGGTATGTATGAAAGTGACATACCATTAGACACAAATCTGTTCTTCTGGAAGAGCGTTGTCCATGGGGCCTTATCTTCATCTTTTTGCTCCTACTTCACTACCGGAGGATCCTCTTTGTTAGTTAGGTCGCTCTGTATCTGGATTGGATTCTGCGTAATCACTGTTCCATTGGTTTGCTTCACTATCCCTTCCGATACTACTTCTATAAGAGAGTTACTTGTCAGATCTAGCTTCTTAGCTACACTTGATTGACTTGAACTTGCTCCAATTGTACATGCAATTGCTCCTTTGTTGAGATCGGAACTTTGAGCTGAACTCTGAGCTGGATTTTGAATTGAAGCTGGTGGAGTTTTCTCCATTAATGGCTGTTTTGCAGTTAATAGTGCTTCTAGTGCTGCTAGTGGATGTTTCTGAGGTCGTCCCCTTCCTCTACCTCTTCCTCTCGCCATGGATACGATTTCGGCGTATGTTTAACTAACGTGCGCCGAGAGCATTTTGAGAAGAAAAGTTTTTACCTTAAATAGAAGTAAGTTGTATGATTTATTTGTTAAATACTCCGTAGTTTGATTTAAAATTTTCGGTACACCTACTCATAAAATAAAATTATTAACTTTTTTAAAGATTGAATAGTACCCTCAACGAAATTCTTGACTAGGCCACTACACGTATCAAAATTCAAATGAAAGAATAAGTACAATTGTCAAAAAAAAATCCAGTTTCTTTTTGGTGTTTGATACGTATTTTAGATACCCGACTAATTTAGATTCCTGTTGTATAAAACCTATTTTTTAGAGCTGCTATTCGGCCAAACTCACCATGGCCCAACGATGGCCACACTAGTGAAATACCATTACAGCCATTAATTTCATATTAGGCTTAATAGCTATTTTCTCCCTCCAAAATTAATTAACTATTGATTATCCCAAAACATTGATCCCATAAATCATCATTCTTTTATAGGAAGATCAACCAACTTCGTATGTATAACTATACTATTACGTATTTATTTTATTTTTTAAATAAAATTTATACGGATGGGAAGATCAAAAGCCTTCGTATATGTATACCTATACTATTACGTTTTTTTAAATACAATTTTATACGATAGGAAGATCAAAATTCTAGTATCTATACTTAATATTATTTTTTTACGGTATACAAACTTATACCATACACTTATGTTAAAAAAGCTTTCATTAAACGCATAATTCACCACCCTTCCCCCTAACCTAAACCTGAATGCTAATTTAATTTATCATGGTCATACATATCGGCCTATAGCAACCATATAAGTCCATTGACAAATATGGTTGAAGTCATATAACCTATGCTAATTATATCGCTGTGATTCTTAGTAATATCGGCCATTTATATAATAGCCGTTTATATTAATTTCATACATATCGGCATATAGCAACCATATAAGTCCATTCACTAATATAGTTGTAGTCATATAACCTATGCTAATTATATCGTTGTGATTCTTAGTAATATCTACCGTTTATATAATAGCCGTTTATATAATTTAATTCATTATGGTCATACGTATCGGCCTATAGCAACTGTATAAGTCCATTGACTAATATGGTTGAAGTCATATAACATATGGTAATTATATCATTGTGATTCTTTGTAACATCGACCGTTTATATAATAGCCGTTTATATTAATTTCATACATATCGTCCTATAGCAACCATATAAGTCCATTCACTAATATGGTTGTAGTCATATAACTTATGCTAATTATATCATTGTAATTCTTAGTAATATCGACCGTTTATATAATAGTTGTTTATATAATTTAATTCATTATGGTCATACGTATCGGCCTATAGCAACCATGTAAGTCCATTGACTAATATGGTTGAAGTCATATAACCTATGGTAATTATATCGCTGTAATTCTTAGTAATATCGACTGTTTATATAATAGCCGTTTATATTAATTTCATACAAATCGGCATATAGCAACCATATAAGTCCATTCACTAATATGATTGTAGTCATATAACATATGCTAATTATATCGCTGTGATTCTTAGTAATATCGACCGTTTATAAAATAGCCCTTTATATTAATTTCATACATATCGGCCTATAGCAACCATATAAGTCCATTCACTAATATGGTTGTAGTCATATAACCTATGCTAATTATATCGTTGTGATTCTTAGTAACATCGACCGTTTATATAATAGCCGTTTATATTAATTTCATACATATCGGCCTATAGCAACCATATAAGTCCATTCACTAATATGGTTGTAGTCATATAACCTATGCTAATTATATCGTTGTGATTCTTAGTAATATCTACCGTTTATATAATAGTCGTTCATATAATTTAATTCATTATGGTCATACGTATCGACCTATAGCAACCAT